CCTGCGGCACCGTTGGTAACCGAATATCTTGGAGTGACATTTAGGATTAGTAGCATCACAGGGGCTTTAGAGGGTTGAATCGTTACTGAGTTGCGGTGTACTGAGTGCTCATTTGTCTTTGTTTATAGACTCGTTTAAACGCGGCTGATATGGAAGTTCTTAASACCGATAAAGGAGAGAAAAACCATAGTGATGGACTTACATTTGGAAGGTATGTTGATTAAGACAGTTTAAACCTGGTACGAATATATCCATGTCATGTTTGTTTATTTTGAGTTGGTACTCATTACAACACGTTACAAGTCTAATCAAGTTCTCGTCATTCTTATGAAGGAACGTAAATATTGGTCTCTCGTATCGCGTTATGATAATAACCATAATAGATTCGTGAATTCTATAACTGGGCAGACTGGGATTAATGTTCTCATAAAGAGTTTAAATGCGCTCATTAGTTTAACATGAGTTTATCAGCTTAGAGTGATATTGTTGTGGTGAAACCGACACAACACAGAACGATTAACAATCCATTTTCGCGACCTTTGCCGTAGACAAAATAATGGTTTATTTCTTGAAATATATGCACAAGAGTTCCGCGCTACTACTCCTCCAAGTGCATGGAGTCGAAAAGTGAGATCACGGGTGGCAATAATTGCTTTATTCTTATCAAGCTCATTTTTCAAATATACAAGAGCAAGTAGCGTCAAACTAATCCCAATTCAAACATACCAAAATATTATCCATTTTTACAACCCATGACCAATTTTTATGACTCCTTGAGCATGCGCTTCTAAAAACAGCAGCGCAGAACTCTGGATGCATGTATGCAAATCGATGCCATGCTTGAAAGATAAGCAGAAAGAAGAGATTCAGTCAGACAAATAACGCTTGACAAGTCACAACTAGCCATATACTCATTAGTTTCAGTTATATRAATCTCCTATACTACCGGCTAAGCAGGAATATGACCTTTTTACATATTAAGAGGAAATGTTTTTGGCAATAATGAGCAATAATGGCAAAAAGCGCCAAAAACTAGACTTTCATATGAGTTTTTTGATTCCAATTTTCGTCTTGGGTCAACACTCAAAACCTTTTTTAAGTAGTTAGAAATTGATGTACTATCATAAAATGCCTGTTTGAAGCGGTATTTTCAATCGTACAAAGATGTTTTGTTGCATTTGTGTTAGAATGTTGCTTTGTCAGTCCTTTTTCTAGAAAATATATGGGAAATAAGTAAATGAAGGCCTAAACCTCATTTTCGAATCAAATTTTTGCTTTGAAATTTTTTTGTTAACACTTTGATTCCACTTTCATCGGTCATCTCCACTTCCAAACAAGTTAAACTTTCTGAATAACAAGATTTTAGCCTTGCACAACAGCCTTTCTTCAAGAAAAAAGTTTTTGGCGCTCACTGCTTGAATACGAAAAGAATTCTCTCTTAACTGATAAGTTATGCCGCTTCCTTATACAGGAGCAGAAAAAAGAAAGGGCTACTAATCGGTATTGCAGTGATCATCATCATAGTTATCATTGYAGTGGTGGTGACGGTAGTCGTTGTACTTGAACCCAAGAAAGATGCCTCATCAGGATCCCCTGCTGGCCCATTGCCTCCTCCTACCGCACCACCCGGCGCGGATGGACCCTACAGCCAAGCCGCAATAGCTGCAGACGTAGGCAAATGTTCCGAGATCGGACGAGATATCATGAWGAAGAATGGATCTGCGGTAGACTCGGCGGTAGCCGCGTTGTTCTGTACTGGTGTCATGAACATCCATTCTTCAGGGATTGGAGGTGGTGGATTTATGGTAGTGTACAATCGTAAAAACAAATCTAGCGAAGTGTTTGACTTTCGTGAAGAGGCGCCGGGAAACGCCAGCATCAATATGTATATTAACAGCTCTCTTGATTCACGAATAGGTAAGCCAGCTCTTTACATATTCAAAGCATAATCAAGGTAGAAAGGAATCGCATCCATTAGATGCAGGACAACAAGCTGATACTCAAACAACTACAGTAASCCAACTTGTCGTGGGGGTTGGTTTAGGGTAGGGTTGTAGGAAGTGCACACACACACCTCCTACTTGGGATGACAATGGCCGCTAAATATGCACAGAATCCTTCCTTTCTGTGGRGAGAATGTTTTCCAATTATTGATGAAAAAATGCTTCTTCTCTTACTTGCCTCAGGACCATCAGCGTCGGGAGTTCCTGGCGAAGTGAAAGGATTCTATGCTGCCTGGAAAAAATATGGCCGGCTGCCATGGAAAGAACTCGTCCAACCATCYATCGATCTGGCAACGAATGGTATACAAATAGCTGACAATGCATATTATGCTATGACMAGGTCATCGGTCAAGAAATACATTACAAAAGATCCTGGATTAAGGTAATAATCATTATCATGATCATGGACGAG